CCATCCATCCATCCATCCATCCATCCATCCATCCATCCATCCATCCATCCATCCATCCATCCATCTTATTCCCGCCCACCTCCCCCCAATGGGGGACTCTGGGCGGTTTACAACAGATTAAAACAATAAATAAATGTATAGTTAACATTTATAAGAAAACACATTAACAGAATAAAGGAAGAGGAAAAATCCAGGAGGCTGATGGAAGCAACACCAGGCCGCCGGGAGCTAGCCAACCCCATATCTGATGACCTCTCTCCCCACCCCAGGCCAAATGGCAGAGCCAGGTCTTCAATTATTATTATTATTTATTTGATTTGCCCGGCCGCCCATCTCATCTGAGCAGCGCTGGGCAGCTCAAAACAGGTAAAAGCAATCCAGCAGAGTTAAGAAACAAAATGCAAACATTTAAAAAACTGTCCACAATCAATTTTTTAAAAAAGCAGAAAAATCACGACCGCGGGCTTACTCTGTTTTACGCTCTATCCCTCATCCCACACTTAGGGGTGCCCGAACGGTCCTGGCAAACCTCCCCCCACCCCTGCCCTCATTCCATGTTGCTAGTCCTCACCGTTCTTCTCGTGGATCTGGACTAGGGACTTGTAGGACTGCTGAGCTCTGGTCAAGCTGTACTGGTTCTGCGGGAAAGAGAACGGCGCCTTTTAGATGGCGAGTCGCAACTCAGGACTCCCTAGATACTGAAACCCACCGGCCATGCCACCTGGAGATCACGGGAGGTGGCATCCAAAATAGCTAAAGGGCATCGAGGTGCCTACCTGGGAGGCGAGTTTAACGTGCCGCGTTTCTCGTTTGGGACGGAGGGCTCTTTGCAGAGACAAAACTGCGGTCCTTTCGAAACCGAAGAGCGTGAAACCACCACGGGCCGGGAGGGGGATCGCCCGTAATCCCGACGTTCTCAACGCAGCAGAGCCAGCGGAGATCCGAGGGGACGGCCTAAGCGTTTGCTTTCCTTCTCTGGCCTCTCCCACCCGACAGCCCAACGTGGGGCAGGCAGCCCGGCCTCCCCACCGTCACTTACCTTGTTTGCGCCAAACTGGACCCTGGCTTTGCCTTTGACCAGCGTGGCGCTTATCTGCATGATCACAGATTCCACCGAGTAAGCGCTGCTCCAGCCCTGCAGAGGGAAAATGGAGTCGTTCCCGTACGAAGCTCCCCGATCTCTCCGGGAACTCAACGAGGTGTGTGATTTCCCCCCACGTGCTCCCCCCGGCTCACCTGCTTTGTCAGAAGCTCCATACAGATCGCTCCTCCACCCAAGACGTACCTTAAGAGAAAGAAGTTGAGAGAAAGAGAGAAAAAACTCATTCCAAGCCCAGGCCTTTCTGAGTCAAGAGTGGCCAAACCCCTTGGCAGTGGAAGGCTGTCAGCCAAAGCAGATTTAAAGATCAGGGAAAGTAAATTCTAGATGCTAGATTGAAGGCTACAATTTGAAATGGTAAAAACCTCACACACTGGTTACAACTACGTCAATATCCGAACCAAGCAGCAGATTAGCAACTGGGGGAGCCTCTCAAGGTTGGACAAGAAACCAGCCCCTGCAAAAGACGGCTGAACCCAACACCTCTGAGCCTGCACAGAGTTCTATTTCCTTTGCATGAGGAGAAGAAGCAGGGGAATCTCCAAGGCTTGGGAGCAAATGGTAGCAGGACTCAAGGAGTGAAGCCACAGAAGCAGCCCGATCCGGCAGGAACGCAGATGGACGAGCGATGGAAAGGCTTACCCTCCCGAGAGCACAGGCGACACCACTCTTACAAAGGGGGGGTCGAAGGGGAAGTTATCCTGCAAGGAGAAGGCAAGAGGTGAGGCCCCTCCAGCTTACCAAGAGCAGCTGGCCGTTCTCTTCCCTCCTCGGAGCCTGCCTGCCTGCCCGCCAGACTGACCTTAAACGTGAAGTTGAGAAGAATGAAGTCGGTCCCCTCTTTCTCTTTCAGGATTTGCAGGTCACTGTGCAAGGCGCTGTCCTCATCCACCCTGCGGGAAAGAGAGCAGAGGCTGACCAGCAGCCGAGAAAAAGGCAGGGCGAAAAAGCCGTGGGGCTGAGGCAGCCGAGGCCGCGTGCGAGGGCTCGGAGCTCAGAGGTTGTTTGGGCATCACTGCGTTTGAGAAGCGTGGATTTTGGGGCGGGGGGCACTCTTCTGCGTATTTTTTGAGAGATGCTGCTGGGAGAAGGGAAGGATGTGACTGTCAGGAATGACAACTTCTCCCCAGCCTATGGGGCCATCCCTCCCCAGTTTCCCTAACTTGGTGGCTGCGGGAGGATACGATAACTCTATGCTGCGAAGCTCTGAGATGTGGCAAGCCCTTACTTCAGGAGTTTCACATTCCAGTCGTAGAGGCTATCGTTCACTAGTTCAACTGCATAGTTTCCTGGGGACGGGGCAAAGAAGACAGAGGTTAGAGGCAGGCTGAAATGGCCCTTCAGCCCCACGAGAGCTCAAAGCAAGGGTTCTCTGTCCCCCACCCTGTGAGGACCCTCCCCTGCAGCAGCTGATACTCACCACCTTTGAAACTTGCCGATCGGTAGATATCCCTGAGCTCCTTCATCAGCCGGTCGGTGGCCTGCACAGACCCAGAAACCGCTCCCTGTGAGAGGAAGAGGAAGGCGGCATTTCACCACCCCACTGGGCTCCATTCAGGGGGTTCCAAGAACTCCTTTAGATACTTCCAAAGGGCCATTCAAGAAATGGGCGGGGAGGAAGACCTGTTGGCCATGGGTGAGCCAAATAAAATTGGGACAGCCACAGCAGGGGAAAGCTGTTATCTTTGCCCTGGTTGGGTATCATGGAACCGGGGGTTCCAACTCTCTGGGGGGATGTCAGGCAAAAGCATGACATGATTTTGGGCATACTCGAGGGTGAAACCAAAAGATGGGGGTGGGAGTTTCTCTTCTTCCCTCCAGAAAATTGCCGAGGGCAGGCGAAAACCAGAGAGAAACTAACTCTACCTTCCCTTAACAATTTAATCACAGGAAAAAAAACACAAAATCAGATGAAGGCTAAAGAATTCTTAGGATTTTCTTGGTCCAGTTGACAGACAGTTTCATGTGGCCTATCAAAGGGCCTCCACGTTTGGCTGAAACAAACATTTTATCAAAAGCAAACGGAAATCTTTAGGCCTCTGCTTAACCCCGTGTACGAAAAAAGCTAGTTGGCCTGAGTGAAAGGAAGATGGGGAACTTTAGGAATGAATCTGGTTCCTTCAGGCCTCCCTCCTCCCCTCAAGAAAGACAGGAGCACCCCTTGTCCACAGCTGCTTTGTACGATCTTGGCTTTGCGTTATACGCAAACCCAGCCTGTGGCTGACGGCTTAGCATGGTCGGTAAAGCTGACCATGGTGGCTTACTCTCACTAACCACTGCTAAAACAAATGGAGGATTAGCACAATACAGAAGAATCAGAACATCCAAGACTTAGTGCTGGTAACTTCCTTCCCAGCCCCAGCCACCCATTTCCCCCATTGCCCTCCCACCTGGCGACACGTACATTTAAGTAATCTTGCCTCTGATTCTTTTTGATTTTCTCAAGAATAGCCAAGTTTTCCTTGCCAATCCCGTCATCTTCCGCCTTTTTTCCTTCCACCGGCTCTTCCTCCTTCATTTCGTAGTGATCTAGCTCTTCCGTGTCCTGGGCGCAGGGTCGGAAGGATACAAGAGAAAGAGATTCCAATTTTGGAATTCAGCCATTCCAATGAGCCAATCTGCCAAACGTTGGGGGATCTGGGGGGAATTCAGGAGGGGGAACCCTGGAGATTAATCTCAACTGGGCCGGGTTTGAAAAACAGAGTCTGTACCTCGGGCATTTCCTCATCTTCCTCTTCTGAGGACACTTCTTCCTGCGTATTCTGTGAACAAACAGAAAAGATGGGCACAGCTCTTTCAGAGAGCAGCCGCCGAAGCAAAGCCGACCATTCAAACAGGCCTTTTGAACTTCGTCTCCCGGCAGCGTCAGCAGATTAAAGCCTCGCTGCCCAGATTTCCCCCTAACTAAAGGCCCCAAGGCAAGATCTATAAGCAAATATGATGCAGAGGCAAAGTCTGACTCAGAGGGAAACCCTAAGCAAAACCCGCTCTCTTTGGCGGGCTTCAAAGCCCCCCCTGCCTCCAGGTCCCGCGACGCTCAGCGGGGCCTCCGGGGGGGCTCACCTGCTCAGCAGGCAAGGGCTGATCCAGCATCTCCACATCTGGATGCTGGGGAAGGTTGTACAGTTTGCAGAGGTCCGAAATGATCCGCTTCAGGTGCTGCAGGAGCTGCGCGAGGGGACGGCGAAGAGGAGGAATCAGTCCAGGGAGGCTGTGCACCCACCCACCCACCGGCCCCCCCTCACCCCCACCGCTGCCCCTCGCTCACCAACGTGTTGCCTTTTTTCACGTCGGCCAGCCTCTCCAAGACCGCTGCCAAGTTGGGGTCGTCCGATTCCACCGACCATATAGGGGGAACAGCTGGATAGGCCTCCTGGGGGAGCAGGAGGAGGGAGTCTCAGGCCCCGCATGAAGGGGGGAGAAGAGGCTTGGGGGGCTGTGGGGGATGGGGGAGCGGGGGGGGGGAGCAGAGGGCGAGTCACTTCTTGGGAGGCTGGCGATGGCCCTCGCCCACCACAGGCAGGCTCCGTGGCCTGAAGGGGCCGCAGACACCCATTGCCCAGGATGGGGAAGGTGGGGGGGGCGTGCAGGGGGAGTGGGAGGGTGT